GAGATTATTGGCTCCATTGTACAGCTGAGAAAATTGAGATTTGGATAATTTAAGTAACTCCCCCAAGGAGTTAGTGGGCAGGCAGGGACTTGAACTCAAGGCCCTAGATATATATCATGGGCTCTCCCACCAGGAAGCAATGTTAGGAACAGTCTAAACATGACAGGTAGGTGTCCTGGCTGGGCAGTGTGACACTGTGTGAGTCCTCCTCTGTGGGTGGGTCTCCCTGCTGTAAATTAGGACAGATGAACAAGTGAGTTTTAAGTCTCAGGGACTTTTGTTCTCACAGAGCTGTTTCCATCCCTGTTCGTGCGGACCAGACCGTGGGCATCCCAGGAGAGGGTGGGACAGTGTCTGAGGGACCCGTGTGCCCATAGGTCCCCTCCACTCCCATCCCAAGATCTGGCATCAGGAAGCTCATTTGAACATCCTATTATCACCTTCAAGAAGAGAAGGTCATTGAGGGATAACGCCAAGTCTTTTCCATCTTTTCTCTTCCCACTGTTATGCACTGGGCAGTGAGCCCCCAAGCTTTTGTTGGCTTAACCCGTGTTTCCATCCCTGTCCCTCTGGCTCTTTGAAGAATATCTCCCCATACCATGGGTCCTGGTAGATGCTCCCACGCAGGCGTGGGCATAGAATCTATTCCAACGAATCAGAATATCCTCATGACCGTGACCACAGTGATTGGCTTAGGCATAGACATGGGACCCGAACAAGGCCAATCAGGGCCTCTTCCCTAGGATTAGCATATAGATGGGGAGGGCGGGGAATGCTGTGGGGCTAGGATTGCTGTAGGCCTGGAGTTCCTACCAGCCATCTTCCACTGGACAGAAGAGAAACTACCAGAAGAATAACGGCAGATATCTGGCACCAGTTTCACTTTTAAGTTCTCAAGTCCTTTTTAAAATTAGGCTGAGTTGAACTTCTGTCCTTTACAATCATGAGATGGGTAAGGTCAATTTCACCTAGGGCAGGCCATAGGTTGTCAGTGCGTTCGTCAGCTCCCCTGTTCCGGGTCTTTGCCTCCAGCCCTGACGGTAACCTCTGTGCCTCCCCTCAGTCCCCGCATCCCAGAGAGGAGCACACTCCCTTCTAACCCAGACTCATGCGGCTCAGTGCTGCGTTAATCGCATCATCTGGAACAGATGCCAAAGACAGAGAAGTGCAGGTCATCTGTTGGGGGTGACGCCTGTGAGGATGAAGAGGAGATGGGGGCAGAAAGAGCGCAGAAGAGCCTTCGCACCGTGCCACGGTCCTGGCATCGGTGAAGGGAAGAGGGGCCGAGAGGAGGATGGTGGAGAAAGAATTTCAGACTGTGGGACGGTGCTCAGAAAGTCTCAGCCAGCCCCCTGAGGAGCTCTGGCACAGGGATTGTTCGTAGGAGAGTCCCACATCAGGCAGAAAGGGTGGCCCCTTGAGCCCAGTGTGCTTAGCTGGAGGCTGCCCCAGAAGCCTGTATCCTAGGGAAATCCACAACTCACTGAACTTCCTGCTATAGGATCCTTCTGGAAGGGATATCTAAGTGGCGCACTCCATGACTGACGCAGTCCCTACTCATTATAATGAGGGTCTATAGGGGATTTTGAAGCAAGACTCAAACCCAAGCCTTCTGCCTTCAGAGTCTGTGCCTTTTTCAGTGCTGATCTTCCTTTTACGTCAGGTACCACAACTAACAAATGAGCACTGTCTTGATGCCAACTCACATTGATTGGTAGTGGCTGCTTGGGCTCTGGGTTGAGCGGGATTCTGAGGCTGCTTCTAAGTTCTGCAGGAAGTTCCACGATTGATTAAGGATGTCTACCATGGGTAGGAAAGGGGTGAATGTGCAAACGTGTGCCAAGTATTTGCTATTCTTACAGAAGGAACAGATAAATATTTATTGAGTGAGTGAATTCTGAAAGACATTCTGTTTAAAGTAGGCAATGCTCTTCCCCCAGGTGAGACTGCCTCCAGGGGAGCTGTCCGGGCACCTGGCCCTGGGGAACTCAGAATCATAGGGACAGCTGGCGTTCGCTGAGGACCTACTATGGGCCAGGCACTGAGCTCGGCTCTTTCAAACATTATCTCATTGGATTCTCATGAGGAGAGGATGAGAGCCTCCATTTTGTGCGGAGGAAACTATAGTCCCCAGAGAGGAGGGGTCTGTGTGAGGCTGCCCGGCAAATCAGTAGCAGATACCCATTCCCACAGCGCTTCTCCATTTACTCCACACCGCCACAGGTAAGACCAGCGGTGGGTTTCATTCTTTCTCTGAATGTAGCATAGCAAGTGGAGCATGATACCGTGAATCATTTGCCAAAGAGAGAGGAAATACTTGGAACAGTCCTTGGAAAGTTCTCTGGAAAGTCCCTGAGAGATAAACCAAATCCAATCCAATAGTCAAGCCTGCGTAGTTGGAGACGGATTTCACAGCCATTGGCCCCTAACATAAAAACACCATTTTATGTGTTATATATTAATTCTGCTATGTTCCAGATGCAGTGCAAAGCACTTTACAATCATTAACTTATTTGATGTCCACTATAGTTTCTTGAGGAAATAAGTCACATTCTCTCTGTCTTACAAAGGATGGATCTGGGGCTCAGAAAGGTGAACTTCCTTGGAGGTCACACATGGTGTGGAGGCATATGTGTGTGTGTGTGTTTGTGTAAATTTTTTGGCTGCACGTGGAGTAGCACCATGTCAGTAGAGAGTGTGCATGGGAATAAAGGTTCAAGGGACGTTGAGGGGCCCAAGGGATGGACTGTAGAGCGCTGCTGTTTATAAGCCTTTTCAGATCCAATCCCACCTTCTCATGCAACCTAATTTCCCTTTAGGTGACCAACTATTCCCGATATGTTCAGTGTTAGGGCACTTAGAGCACACAGCTCAATTAGAATCTCTCAGTTAAGTTTTTGAATCTAGCAAGGAGTGACACATGGCTTGGGATTCATTTAGGTAGCACAGGAAGGTGGCTAATAACATAATTTCTGGAAATAGAGAGCCTTGTTCAGTTCCAGGCTCCACAATTAGTACCTATCCCACATTGGGCAAACTACACAAGCTCTCTGTGCCCTGGTCTTTTCATCTGTAAAATAAGAACAATAATAAAATCTACTTCATAACTGTTACATACATAGAGAGTATGTGACACAGAGAGGTTCTACTTTGGCATGTTTTTCTGTCTTGATGTATTTGTATCAATCTTTAAGGGTTTGCAGTTTATTCCCACAATGAGACCCCCTGGAGCACCTCATTTGATCCCTTACTTTGCAGAGGACAGGTCCCCGGCCTTTTCACTGACCCTGTGAGCTCCCGATATTCTGCGACTCCATCATTTCTTGCAAAACTAACTTAAAGTCAGTCTCTGCTGCCTGCAGGCCCGGAACACCAGATGTCATGTCAATTCTGTCTCACACCAAAGTGGGGACTCTGGTCCCTCCAAGCTGTGACCCCTTCAGTCCCCAGTAAATACTGCACCTGACATCAACGAGGCTGTCCTCTCCCAAGTTCATGTCCAGAGCAGTGTTACCAAAAGCAGACTGGCTCCTGAAGGTTGGAGATGCTTCTTTGATTGCTTAATATATACTATCGGGATTTTCCGGGCTGCATTATGTGGTGAAACTATTTGGGATTATTAGCCCCAAATGAACAATGAGCAGATGGGAGGTCCAGGGATATGAAGGGACTCATTAAAAGTTACACAGTAAGATGAGATGGTTCCTAGCTCAGGTCCTCTCTGCTAAAAGACTGATTAACCTATGTGGGGTGAGAGATGGTCTGGGAATAAGGCTTGGGCTTTGAACTTGAACCCTCAGTACTTCACTTGTCTTTTTTCAGTTCTTCACTGATTCCCGATTTCATTAAGCTGAATGCTATCTCAGGGCCTTTGCACATGCTGTTCCTTCTGCCTGGAACTCTGTTTCTTCCCCCAACCCCCACCTCCACTCTTCACCTAATTCCTTACCCCGTTTCAGATCTAGGCTTCTCTGTCCCTTCCTAGACCAGCAGCTCCAGTTCCCAATGTCAACATTTGCCTTTGCTTCAGTTACTACCACATTCAATTATTATTCTTTTTCTGTTTATCAGTTTCTTGTCACTAGATTCTACATTACCTGAGGGCAGAGACTCTGACTTATTCTGGCTCAGGGCTTGGATGCTGTTTGGTCAATGTATGGATGAATCCCAGATCATCCAACCAGAAATCATCTAGTTTCTAGTCTCCCTCCAAAGCGGAGCAACGATGGCTTGACCATGGTCACAAAGCTAGTCATTATCTAGGAGAAGCTAGACCAGAACTTGCCAACGGCCACCTTCACCTCTAAGTCTTGAATGGAGCCATCTTGATGGTGTGCGGTGTGGGCTTCACCGAGGAAGGACGTTGGGACAGACGCCAAAGGTGCCCACTCCTCGCCACCAACTCTAAGAGTCAGATACTATCACCATCAGCGGCAGCATCGTCCCCATTTTACAGATGAGGAAACTGAGGCTTATGACACTTCATGACTTGCCCAAATCCTCCAACTGGGAAGTAGATGAGGAGGAGACTTGAAACCTGGGCGGATGCCCAAGCCGGCGCGCCTCACCGTTGGGTGCGGCGGCCGGGGGGGTGGGGTGGGGGGGGTTGCTGGCTCGCCGGGCCGGCTGTGCAGGGTGGCTGAGGGGCTGCAAGGACGCAGGGGAGCAGGGGAGCGGTGGGAAAGGCGGCGGGTGGTCAGGCTCCTTTTGGCAGCCGCGAGGCCCTGGCCCGGAGGGGGGCGCCTGCCTGTCATCCCGGGGCGGGCGGGGCGCGGGCCGGATGCCGGCACAAAAGGGCCGCGTTCGCGCCATGCGGGGAGCCGCGCTCCGACCCGCCCCTGCAGCCGCCGGCTGCCCCCGCTCGCCTCGCCCCGCCTCCAGTCTCCTCTGGCCCGCAGTCTCTCTCTGGGTCCCCGGCCAGCCGGCCAGCCGGCTCTGCTCGCTCCAGGGCCAGGCGGGGGCCCCCGGGGGCTGCGCACCCGACTGATGACCCCGACTGACCGACCCGGCACCAGCTAGAGGAGCTGCCCGTCACCATGGTAACGCCTGCCAAGGTCTGGACCACCTCGCTCCGTCCTCTTTTGGTGGGGGTGTCCAGGGCAGACCCCGACCTTTTGCGCTATGACCCTCAGGACCTCACCACGGGCGGGCGCGTGTTAACTGGTCCCCACCAGCCAGGGAATTGGGGGTGAGGGGGGCGGGAACCCCCTCGGCTCTCTGGGCCCCGTCCACTCAGGCGCCAGTGGATGAATAAGATTGGATGACTTGTGAACTCCTGATGCGCCCCAGCCCAGGCACAGATCGGAGCTGGAACCCTAGCCCTTGGGCCTTAGACAAAACGAGGGGTGCTGTCGCATTTGAGGCTTGGGGCTGAGGGTCAGGTATGCCCACTGTCCCCGCACAGGGTTTGGATGGAGATGGAAGTTGAACGCCTTTCCCAGTCTCACGGTGCTGGGCAAGGTGGGTTAACGGTGCCCAGTGGAGAAGGGGGAGCCGCTCACCAAAATTTGGGGTGCTCTTGCCACTTTAGACTCAGGGCAGGAAAGTCAGAAGTGCACATAGTCCTGACATGAGGTGGCCGCATGGGAATTGGGTGGGGAGGTGGGCCTAGGAGACGGGCGGGGAGGGGGCCGTTACCTCGATACTGCGGCTTCCTCCCTGGTGCCTTGATAAGGTTAGATACACTGGGAGCTGTGTGTGTGTGTGTGTGTGTGTGTGTGTGTGTGCGTGCGCGCGCGCGCGCGCGCTTGCTGGGAACAAGGGATGAAAGAAAAGTCTGTTTTCAGGGAATCCCAGCCCAGCTGTGAACAGCCCCGGGAGCCGCAGGCAGATTCGTATGGGCAGTGGGGATTTGGAAAAAGGCTGTGGAGACAGGCCAAGGCTTTAACCCCTTGGCTGTGGTCGACACATTGACCATGCTTGTGGGTTTTCACTAGGTGCACATTCACACGCAGAGGAATTCTATTCAGAGACGTGTGTACACACGGGCAGTGCAAACCATAGTGCGTTCCCCTGACTCCTGTGGCTGAACTGCGTGCCCTCTCACACACACAAGCCTTCCCCACCTGTCTACCGCTGTAATATGGGCACACACCTGTGTACATGCCATAGACATATTGCAAACCCAGGCTGCTATGTCCACGCAGCCGCAGGGCAGGGGTACTCACACATCGCTCTTGGAGCTGTTTGACAGTAATCTTCGTAAGCCAGTGGGTATTCACCTCTCCCCACAAGCAAGGCCCTGTGCTGTGGGATTCACATGCAGGAGCTCACGAAGCTCACGGCAGCTCTGAGAATAGAACTGCCGGTGTCCCCACCCCCAAAGATGGGGACCTGAGGCTCTGGGAGCTTCAGTGGCTGCCCAAGGTCACCCAGCCAGAAAGTAGGAGCTAGGCTAGCCTGAATTCTGAACATGCAGTCAGCTGTCATGGCCACCCCAGAGCCACACCTGCACCAAGCAGTGTTTGCTAAACTTTACCTAGTTTTGGACTTAACTCACTGAGTCCTTTTAAAATCCTTGCTGAACACCAGATCCTCAGATCAAAAGTTAGGCCTTGGGTGGCTCCTTGAAAAGGCGGAGCAACTCTTTCCTGACTAGGAACGATGGGCAGATTTCTGTCCCACCTTCATCACCTACCTACCTCCCTGCTCTCACCTCTGTACTTCAGCTGCTCTGACATTGGTTCAGAGCCTCTTATGTTTCATGTTCCCTGCTGGCACAGGGCCTTTGCATATGCTGTTCCTGCTGGGTGGCACTCTTTCACCTAAAGAATTTTTATCCATCTTATAAATCTCCACCCCAGTACCATGTCTTCAGGAAAGTCCCACTCTAGCATGCCATGCATCTTTCCTTTGTGGCCCCACCACAGCTGTCCGTTTCGTGGGCAGCCCAGTGTCAGAGTATCTTACGGCAAAGGGCCTTTGGGCTTGTCCAGGTTCACATTCCTGAAATTTTAGTATCATCAGAAAATGTTTTTGCATCTTCTCTTACTGGATAAGGTGTTATATAAAGAGATAACAAAATCCACTACTTACTATTTGCTTAGTATTTCTCTTTTAATCAACTTACTTCATAAACATAAAGATAGATTTATTTATTCTTATAAATGTTTATTTATTTTTGAGAGAGAGAGAGAGACAGAGCACGAGCAGGGGAGGGGCAGAGAGAGAGGGGGACACAGAATCCGAAGCAGGCTCAGGGCTCTGAGCTGTCAGCACAGAAACCGATGTGGGACTCGAACTCATGAACTGTGAGATTATTACCTGAGCCGAAGTCAGATGCTCAACCGACTGAGTCACTCAGGTGCCTCGACTTGGAGATATATTTAAATAAGACATTTTATATCACGGACCATGAAAAAATCTGCATCCATTGTCATAAATACAAATTAAATGTAAAACGTATACAATGAAGGCAAATCCGTATCGGTAAATTCTGGCTGGATGAGGTTGTCTGTGGATGATTCCAAGCCAGAGGACTGCTTTATTTTTAAGTGTCTGGGAGGTTACTTTAAGATACACTGGTACTGAACTGAGACTTTCTCTTTGGTGTTATCGTGAGGACCAGAGGAGAGTTGGGTAACCTTCTTTGGTTTCACATAGAGTTCATGTCCTCCCCAGCTCATTTTGGGATTACCTGTCATCCTATCCCATCCTTTGAGAAAAGCCAGTTTAATTCATTTAACATTGCCGAAGTACTTACTTCATGGTGATCCCCCAAGTGACTACTGTGTGCTGGGCCCTGTGTAAGGACCGAATGAGAGGAGAGTACGCCCTGGACCCTGGCCTGGGGCTTGCAGGACCCACTCGCTGAGATTTCCAGGCTGCGGGATGGGCGGTGGGAGTCCCTCTCTTTGCCTAGAAGCGTAAGTGTCATGAAAGAGAGGAGATGCGGGTTGAGTGGGGCTCTGAAGGGTGGGAAGGAGCTCACTCAGTCCGGGGAGGGGCACAGCGTGAGTTCAGGCAGTGCTTTCAAAGTGGAGCACCCGCCATGGGTCCCCGAGGGGGAGACTTTAGATAAACATTTATTGTTTTACAATTTTTTCATCTTAGTGTTAGGAAGTGGTTTTTTTGTTTGTTTGTTTTATTTTTTTTTAATGTTTTATTTATTTCTGAGAGAGAGAGAGGCAGTGTGAGCAGGGGAGGGTCGGAGAGAGAGGGAGACACAGAATCTGAAACAGGCTCCAGGCTCTGAGCTGTCAGCACAGAGCCCAATGTGGGGCTCGAACCCACAAACTGTGAGACCATGACCTGAGCCGAAGTCGGACACTTAACCGACTGAACCACCCCGGCGCCCCTAAGAAGTGGTTTAAGCAGCACAAACACATGATAATAAATAAAAATCAAAGGATTTAAGTCAGAAGTAAATTGACAAAAAGACAAGTATGAAGTAAGTAATAATCAATATCAAGTAAAATAAATTAAGATATGTAAACAGCAAGCAAAACTCATGCGGGTGGCACAGGAGTGGTTGGGAAACCCCGGGCCAGAGTGTCAAGTGTGCTCGAAGAAGCAGGAGAGGTGTGGACTGATGGTGTGGACTCAGGGCCACTACTGGCAGGCTGAGTTGTTAAGGTAGTGGGGAGCCACTCATGATCGTTGAGCAGTGGAAGGTCACAATTGGGTCTGTGTGTTAAAAGGCCGTGGTAGTGGCCAAAGGAGACCCTAGCCTGGTGATAGGGGGCAGGGGGAGGGGCAGGAGAGCTGGTAGTTGTGTGTACGTGTTGCTACCCCAGCTCTACCATTTACTGGTGGTAGAGAGAGAGCCTTGGGCTCAATTTCTTAACCTACAAAATGGGAATAATAATACCCATCCTGTAGAATTATTGGGAGGAGGAAATAATATAATGTTAATGAAAGGGGGCGCCTGGGTGGCTCAGTCGGTGAAGCGTCCGACTTTAGCCCAGGTCATACTCTCATGGTCCATGAATTTGAGCCCCACATCGGGCTCTGTGCTAACAGCTCAGAGCCTGGAGCCTGCTTCACATTCTGTGTCTCCCTCTCTCTCTCCCCTTCCTCCACTCTCTCTCTGTGTGTCTCTCACAAAAATAAATAAACGTTAAAAAAAATTTAAGTGTTAATAAGAGAAAGGAAAACGCTTAGGATAAAACCTGATAACAGATGCTTGCTCAGCGAGAAGCTCTAGTCATAAGTGCTATTATCATTATGGTTTTTGGGTGGGAGATGGTGAGCCCCAAAGCAGAGGCCGAGGGGACAGAGAGTGAGAAGAACAAGCTCAAAGCCAAGCTCCGGACAGGTGAAGTGACTTGCCCAAGGTTACCCAGATGACACATGAGAGACCTGGATTTGCATGTGGGTCTTCTAACACCTACTTGCTTCTCAGTTCATTGCAACTGGGCTGTTTTTCCAGTTTCTGAGTTGTTGTTTTTTGTTTTTTTTTTTAAGGAGCCAATTCTCACTCCTACCTCCACCCACCCACAAATAAAAGGGATTTAAAGCAGGAGAAGTTTTAGTTGGACATGACCAGCAACTTCCTGGCAGCCAGGCCAGCAGAATCCCGGTTTTAGTATCTCCAGCCTGGAGAAGTTCAAGAGCAGTGTCCCAGGTAGTTGAGCCTGTCGGCCACATGCTGATACCCATTGGGCTGTATCTGGCTCACAGATGTGTTTGGTTTGACTTTACTAAAATATCAGCAGATCCGGCAATGCTGGGAAAAGGCAACACTCGGCAGGAGCTGATGAAGTGGGCGTGCATCTCAGCCCCATTACTGCCCATTTCTTCCCGGACACTGAGGTCGACTGCGAAGGGCCACTCACCAACGGGCCAGAGAGGTTGTTTTCTCACACTTGGCCTCCTTCTGTCTTCCCCGTCACCTGTCGGTCCCCTGTAAGCATTTGTGTCAGTGGCTGGTGGTTTAGATCCTGCCTGGGCTGAGTAGAGAGACAGATGCGACAGATCTTTTTAAACTTTCCCACCAGTTGAGGATTAACTGATCCCATTTAGAAGCCACAGCCCAGCTCCAAACCTTCTGGAACCTGATTATACCTTGAATTCTAGAATGGCCCAGCTGGAAGGACCCTTAGAGATAGATAAG